CCTATTATAACAGATAGACTATTCCAGAAAATAGGCTCTATTGGTTGCTGATATAGAGGTATAGTGGATGAGCAGATTGAAGTTATATCAAAACATGTGGCTACTGCGCTTATTCTGAGTTTTTTTTCTCGGTGTAGTACAGTATAGCAAATGATAATAAGTGTTACGATTATCTAGAAGACCCTTTTAAATTATACCCGTACCAGCATGTCATGTACACATATTCTGAAGATAGTTAGTGGCAAAATACTTTCTCGAGAGGAGGTCTTTCTGTTGCCTCTAACAAATCAACTACGATGTGAGTAAACAGATTTTCAAAAGTAATATTAACAACTTTGTAATTCAATGTGTTCAAGCCGTCATTTCTCCAGTCCTTTTTCGTATGTTCTAGCAACTTGTATCGACATCTGAAAAAGAGTGGAGATGCTTTAGTGAGAAATCAAAAAAATGCTCATATGACCCTATTTTCTGAGATGCAGGGCACACCCGTAGAGCGAATTTCTACACCCATGATCCCTGCAAACGATAGGGCGTCTGACGGGGCCGTGCTTGGAGCTCAACCAAATCACATTTTGCTCCAACTATACCTATCTCAGGATGCCGTCACTGATGGGAAAATGGCCTTCTTGCTCCGCTCCAAAACGCGCCGCATCTGACATTTTGGGACGAGTTCTCACTTCTCGTTCTCCTTACCCCTTCTTACAAAAGTCAGAGAGGAATGACCCGCACCACGAAGGAGCCTTTGAAAATGAGTGTTTGGTGTGGAGTGTGGCACTAGGCGGTACTTTGCCTTCATCATGAGCGGACAGCGCCATTATCACGTATTTTTGAGCCGCTAAAGTGGTACACCCTGAATGTTGAGGGACCAATCACCTTGTCCAAGGAAGGAGCCTGTACATCCTTAAGGTGGCTGCGAAATGTGCCTACATGGAATATCAGATCGATGCAAAAATATAACACCAACTGACGGATTGATGGGATTCGATTGTGGCTCGTGTTCGTGTCTGATCATCGTGTAACGAGCAATGGTGTGGTTGTACCGCTCCACCTTATATCCAGCAAGCACGATCCTAAACAGTATATGTAGTTCTGTTGATAGTTTTTCGAATGATGACGTATAGAATACTGGGCGCAGTTCAGCTTAGGGGGGGGGGCTTTCCACTCGAAAACCTCAATCGATGCTCCTTTGGAAGTCAAAAGGAATTCGATAATGGAAACTAGCGAGATACGAGACTCCCCCAAAGCCGAATAGCGCCGGATACTGTGGCGCACCATTTTCGAAATTTTTGGGGCACTCTGACTGATCTTGTGTCTTAATATTTCAAATTTCCTTCTACGCTTCATGTCGTAATTTCAAAAATCTAAGAAAACGTCACATCAGTATATATTTCACAACATGATAATGTGCAACAAATATTATGATGAACAACGAAAAATCATAGAAAATATCAAAAAATCATAGGATCAAATGCTTGGCATCAGAATAAAACGCTATCAAGACCCAGACAGGTGAAGACCAGAGCTTTCAACTGTTCATTCTTGAGGACAAACTATACGGTCAGTTCCGAAGACAGTCTTTTTCATATGCGAATTGAACGGTTCCGCAGCTGCATCTGCGTGCTACTTTTCCTGGTCAGAAGTGCTCGAGAGGAGTAGTTGGAGGCTGGGGGTAAAAACACCAAAGCACTATTTCTATATCTACACTAACACTACCGCGGCTTAATAACCTGTAATTGTCAGGGCGGAAGTGTGTCCGATACTAAGATCCCCGCAACGAAATTTGCACTCAGAACATCCACAACAACCACATGTGAGAGGGTGCAGGAAAAAAGCGCATTTAGCGTTGGCTAGGTGCGTGGCCGACGAGGCGGCAGGTCGGAGGGGTAAGGAGAGGATACCCAGCTATTACTACCCTCCAGCACCATTCACGTGCACTTTTGACCGGAGAAAGTGACACGCGTTACTTGTTGGCACAATGGAAAGCCAACGGAAAGCAAAATCTAAATAGATTTCAAATTTGTCTGCTGTCGGAAACTGCACACAGCGTAATCCAGCGTTGGCGTAGAAGAGGCAGCATAGTGCCAGTAGAGTTCCTACCTCTTATACATGTCGTCATCTTCACCACCCCATCCCCAGTATCGATTCGAAAATCCGTTCGTTTTCTTGAACTGATCCAACGTCAGTGCCGAACTCGTGCCGAACATCCCCTCATAGAGAAGCCTACAAAATGATAATAGTGAGTTTTTCCATTCAAAGGATGTAGTATTTTCTATGAAGACTCCATCTAGTGCAACAGAAAATGACTGCTCCCCCTAGTAGAGTGACCTACTTGTAGTCAAATTTATTCACTGCTACTGCCATATGCCGTGGATTATTGGTAGGACAAGTGTGCAAATTACGGTCATCTTCCGGTAGAAGGTCCACATCATGGAACAGATAACATTGCCATTTGTAGATTTTGTTGGCCTCCATAAACCCAACATTGAGCAACTGAACGAGGAGTTTTTGTCTACCATTCGTTAAGAATTTGAGAGCTCAAATAAAAGCCCAAGCCCCAGGTGTTGTCTAGGATTTCACCGGCAAATATGTTGTACAGCCATGTATTTGTTTAAGTTACAGCGACTCGCAGTATGTAGTATACTGCATATCTCATTGTTACCTCGAACGTGTGATCTTCTGAGCTAGAATAAATGCAATAATTCACCTTAGCTCGATTAAACGTTTGATTTTCGATTTGCTCCACCACTATAATGGAGTAGTCCAACTTCTGCTTTGTGAGGAATCGGTGCATATTGTTCAAAAGTATACGAAGGTGAGATTCTCTGTCACGATACGGAATGATTACAGCGATCTA